AAGGCATGTGACAGCTGATCTCAGCAGATGTGTGACAGAGTTCAGGTGGTGAGTTTGAGCAGCAAGGTTACCAGTCAAAGGATTTTTTTCCCCCCGTCACAGAACCAGAAAGAACAGCACTGCTAACATCCCTTGGGTAGGTGTCACAATCGGATCTGGCCTGTGTCAAAAAGTGTAACAAGAGTTCTCTTTCTCTCTTCGGCTCACTCTGTCTCACACACACACAAACGCAGAGAAAGATATCCCCTCTTTTCACTTTCCCTTTTTCCTCTCTCATTCCCCCATCAACTCATCTGATAGTGCTGTAACAGTCTCAAATGGTTCCCCGGAGATGCATCAACTCCGCGCGCGCACACACATCCTGTTCCTTATTGATGGCTCGAACCGTTTCCTCGCTGATTTATAACTCACGTAGCCTTCTAAACCCGGATAGGCATCTGGCATCTAAGCAGTCGACTCCTGTGACATCACTGTCTCATTTACAGAGATGCCGTTTTTGTTTAAATGGAAAATAGTGACTTTGTGCCCGATAAAAAAGGATTATCCAGACCAGTTATGGAAATACAGCTAAGTAGGACGGGGAAGGCTAAAATCAGCTGCCTGGTGCCGGGGCTGGACAAGCTTGTCTCCATTTAGAAAGCAAAAGATTTTATACTACCAGTACTATGATTTTTTTTTATTTTCTTTTTGGGTGTGTGTCCAGAACACGTAGAGCCACCATATCTACTTCATAGGATCATTTGCTTTGGAAATGGTTTCTAAATAACGAGATGCTCTGTTGACTTTGTAGTCACATGGAAAATGACATGAGTGTTCAGTTCACAGCTACATGTCGTGAAACATTCACAGCCCTGACCACAATTGAGGTTTAACATTTAGTTTTATGATTTGGAACACCATCAGACTGTGTGCCACCGCCGCCTCGCTCGCGCAGACGGCCACGCGCGCGCACACACACTCACAGGAACTTAACAGTGTTATGTATGGTTTCATCGCTCCGTATAGGCCATAATCACCCTCTCTCCATCTCAGTAAGCTCATGCTAAATGGCCAGACGTCTCTGGTGGCTGCCATGATTTGTCTCTCCACCGCGCGCCGTGTTGTACCTCACCCTCCCTGCCTCTCCTTTCTCTCTCCTTCCCCGCTGCCATATGTTGTGCCTGTGTGACCAGCCGACGTGTCAGGCCTGACTAACGCCTTAACGGCAAGCCTGACTTTGATTTATTTCCTCTGAAATCTGGGGGCCGGGGGTAATAACACAGAATGACATTATTTGTTTATCAAATCCAAGGCTGCTTCTCTTGGCAGAGTCAAGATGTGATGACTTGATACCACAACCCCACATGCTGCACACACACACACCCTTCAGTTTCTGATTGTGCCATGATTAGGTCTGGCCCGTGTCAAGCTTAACCTCATCCAAGGGAACGCTTTTGAAATCTGACAGAGAAGGGAGCAGAGTTGGAGGTGGTGGGGAGAACAAAGATGGAGATTGAGCAAAGCAATTAAATTGTCAGGGCGTAGCTTTAACCCTACCACCCAATTTTGTGGCCAATTTATTAAGCACGTTTTCTGTCTGCGCTAACTGGTTGGCGTGCTTGTATTTACAGAAAGAAAGAGCAGGAAGAGGCAGCGAGAATAAACAGCACTTTAAATACTAGATGACCCATTTTATGGGAGATATTTTATCTTCGCGCACCCAGAGTGTCTGTCACGTGTTCTACTTCTCAATTTAAGATTGCGGAGGGGCTGTTTAGCCCGTCTAAACCCCGTCCCGATGTTACTCAGCCACCAGGTTTGTCATTCTGGCACTTTCAAAACACTTTCAGGTCCTTCTTAAACGTGTAAATCATCCATTGCCCCCGTTAAAATTTGATCCCTGGCAAATTCGCTAAGAAGCGTGGAATCCTCGGGAAGCAATTAGCAGATTTTAATTTGGCTATTTGCCCCGGTGTGCAGGAGCGAGTGTTTGTCTAAAGCAGCACCTTCACCTTCCGTTATCAGCCCGTGTGAATAGTATCTCCTGGAACATAATGCTGTGCTGTAGAACTCAATAAAAGAGTTAAAGGCAAGGACAATCTCAAAGACAGCCTGTCTGATAACAAAAGGGCCTCACCTAATAATGAACAACTGAAGTTGGCTTTCTTTGCTCCAGCGTGGGGGAGGCTGGGGTGAAGGAGGAGCGGGGGGTAAAGAGAAGCTCTGCCAGCACTTGCCAGCATGTTTTATGGCTAATTGAAGCATTTGGAATAAAACTGCTGCAAAATGGCACCCTTTAGAATTGGAGTGGGGTTAATATATTGTGATCCCACAATTAGCCCAGGATTGTTAAGATCTCTTTAATTCGGTGAGGTCCATTAAGCGGGATGGACGAGAAAGTGCTCCCGCCGAGACAATTTTTCTCTCCTCTCTTTGTTCTTTCTGTCCTCTTTTCCCTCTCAGCAGCTGCTGTAGTAATCAATATAAGCGGACGCGGGCCGTCAGCGAGGTGCTAGGTTGTGCTGGTGTTACCCCCTTTGGGTGCCATAGCTTCTGAGGTCCACCCACATGGAGACTTTGTTTATAAATAAACAAGTGGCCAGAGAGTCGCTGCCAGTAGATTGACTCTGGTGCACAAGGTGTGGCCTTTAAGCTGGCGTGGAAAAGCTCGTCCTCGTGGACAGAGGCATTAGATCATCCTCTCTCTCTCTCTCCAGAGCAGAGGTTTGCTCTTTACCCCAGTTTCTCAAATCCCCACTTGGCCTATGAGTGCCTCCACTAGAGCCGCAGCAGTGGCTGTTGCATGATCGTCACGACTCAGGGTTTTCACAAGTGTCTCTTACAGAATACGAGAGTCCCTTCTGGGTTATCTTTGGGGATACAGTGCGCCTGTGGGAGTCTGCCAATTGGTGGAGGATTTTTTGTGTGTGTATGTGTGTGTTTTTTTTAAACAGGACTACATTTGAGTCTGCAGAAATGCCCCAATCCCTTTCAAACCATGACATAACAAAGCCTGCACAGCTCTCCCAACATTTAATGTAATGCACTTTCTTCCCAATATAGATTTATTGGTTTAAAGTCGCTCTTGCGAGGCAAATAAAGCCACGCCTTAAACGGAGCATTGATTGAATGGTTAATGAGTGCCTAACCAGAAGGCCAGTTCATTAAAGACTCGGTTTTGATCATCTGAAATTGCTCCTAAATTTTAATTTCTCATGCTAGGATGTGCGTTTGGGTTAAGCCAAGGCTCCGGCTTTATCAGCAGTTAATACCTATCCGCTTAGTGCTCAGGTAATAACTTGGGATGCTGGAAAACGGTGAGCATTTCAATAGCGCGGGGGTTCCAGCACAGTGGATTTTGAAGCTTCTTGAAAGTAATTAAACAGCACGCCACCTCATACAGAGCAATTTCCTGCAAAGCATGTGCTTGCCAATGCAGCACAGCCCCAGCCTACGCCGCGTTATCTCTGTGAAATATGTCCCCTTTATCATTTTTTAATAATGACTGAGTGTTCGTGTTGTTAGGAGAAAATCTACTCAATAAACATCAGATTAACGTTTTCCTCACTGTTAGCTAGCTAAGTGAACGTCCAAGATATCTGTGTCATCTGTAAATGAAAATTGGAGGAGGGGAGGGTGGGGGTTGAGGCATTAAAATGGCCGCTATCTCGGCGGCAGATCCAAAACAGCGGCGTCCATGCTGTGTGTGTAATTGTGTTAAATAAGTGAGGGTAGATAGAAGCTTGCGCATGTGGGATTTTTCTGAGGAACAGCGTGGATATCTGAGAGGCGTAATGATGGCCGTGTGCCATCGCCGAGCCACGTGAATCCTATCGTGTGCTTGAAGGGATTTGCTCTTGTTGGGCTGGCCACAGAACGTCCCAGGGTGATGAGGCTGTTTATCTCTCTGCTGTCCCGAAGCCCCGTGGGGTTTTTATGGCCTTGGAACCTTAAGTTCCTGTCGTCACTTGTCAATGCAAAAGAGAGCGAGCGAGAGAAAAGACACAGTCGTTCCTCACATGGACTCACACGCTCCCCTTTGTCAAGTGAGCTGCATTACTCTCAGTCTTAACATTGATCTATATACGTTCTCCTTTTTCTTTGTTTTTCTGTCTTTTTTTTTCCGACACGCATGCCGTTATTATCCCCGGTCAATAGCTGGCAGCTCACACCTCACCCTCCCCATCTCATCTCCATACATTCATCTCTCTGTCTTTACTCCTCACACATTTATAAGCTGCGAGCGCACAACTTCTCCTGTACTTCAAAAAAGGGGTCCGAGTAGCAAGAACAAGCTTTATTTATAGCAAAGTGTTGAAGCTGAGTTCCCTCCCATTGTGAATGTCAGCCTGTCAAACCAGCAATTTTAAATAAATCAGATTTATTTAGCTTTGGCGAGTCGTAATTTCTCCTTATCTGAGGGCCGCTCGCAAACATCTTGTCGGCAAGCGACGACTCTCGAAGCTGTGGGCTGAAGAGAGAGAAGAGCGAACTTCTGCGCATTGTTTCCTTTTATCCCCCCCCCCGCACACACACACACACACCATAAACCCCTCCATACCGCAGCCTGCCCCAACCCATTGCTGTCTTCCCCCAGATACTTGCTACTTGTCAGCGTTGGTAATGGGTTTCTTGGGGGAGATATTATTTTGGTCCAGTAAGCTGTTCGCTTAAAATATGAGTGACAGGCTTGACTCACATGCACATGAGGCAAATTTTGTTTTGGTTTTTAGAGTTTTTGTAAAAAAGGCTGCCAGAACGCAGTGAGCTCAGCTGCTGCACAAAAATAAAAATAAAAAAAACGAGAAAAAACAAATGTTTTCTATATTAACAATGAAAGCCACCCACCACCTTTACTTCCCCGAAATAAAGAAAAAG